TGGTGGGCGACGGAGGATAGGATGTAGCAGGGTTAGACTTAGGTGCGCTGTGTTAATTATGAGTGCCTCTGGGTGAGTGCACTCCCTCCTCTAGAGTAGAATAGCTAGTGCTGCGAATCTTGTAGTTTTTTCGGCTGTATTCTTGTTTGTTTTGTTTGCTAACTGGCTTGTTTGCTTGCTTGTCTGTGTGTTGTTTGCGTTTTGACTACATTTTGCTTGTCTGTGTGTTGCTTGGTTTGTTGTTTACACTCTGGTCCTTCTTCCTCCACCCGTCCAGTTGGGGCTGCCGGGATGGATCGAAGAAACCGGTTAACTAAGCTCAAGCTGTTAACTTGGAACGTGAAGGGCTTGTCGACTCGGTCTCTAAATCCGAAGCGATGGGAGCTGCAGCGTACTGCCCGCAAACACCAGATCGACGTTCTCTGCCTCCTGGAGACTAAGTTGGGGGAAGGGCTCTGTTTGCACGATGCCCCCTGGTGGAAGGGACCTCAGGTCTGGGCCCCTGCGCAAGGAGCAACTGATAGAGGAACATAGGGTGGCGTGGCTATCCTGATATCCCCCCATTTTCGAGGGGAACTGGTGGACTGGAACTGGGACAGACAGGGGCGATGGGCCTGGGTGATGCTGCAGTGGGGGCGGACCCGCTGGTGTGTGGTGTCGGTGTATGGACCCTCGGATCCCCGCGCGCGGACCGACTTCTGGGCGGAGTTCAGAATCCAAATCCCCAAAGTCGAATGCTATGTGTTTGCTGGGGACTTCAACACCACTATCCACCCGGGGCTGGATTCCCTCCAGGAACGCCCGCCCACGGCAGATGCGGAAGCGCTGCAGTTGTTTATAACAGAACTGGACTGTGTGGACGTCTACCGCACGGCCTTCCCTGCGGGACGGGAGTTCACCTGGTATGGGTCGGCAAACCGAAGGAGCCGGATTGACATGGTGTGGGCCTCGAGTTCGATCTTCAGGCGCGGCAGCGAGATTGCATACCTTCCAACAGCGCTGTCAGACCACGTAAAGGTCGCAGCCAACTTTCCTGTGGGGGGCATTATGGTGGGTCATCCGCAACCGTCCCTTCCCGCATGGGTTTTTCAGGACGAAGAGTATAAACCTCTGATTCAACAACATTGGGATAATTGGCTGCCGCGACGCCCCCAAGGAATGGATGAGTTGGGATGGGTGGCGCAGGGCAATGCTCTGATGCGCAGGTGTGCATGATAGGCTGGCTGGTAGCTACCATGCCCACTTGGCCACAAGACAGGAGTACGCCGACCGCCTCAGTGCGCTAAATTGTGGCCCCAAGGACAAGCAGACGGAAGAGGAATGGTGGGTGGAGCGAGTGGAGGCCGTGCGGGAGTGGCAAGAGTGGGAGACGGTGGAAACCACCCGCCGGGGGCGCAGATCAGAGGTGGGATGGACTGTGGTGGGTGAGAAGATGTCTCGATGATTCTTCAGAGAGCTGGGAAAGAAGCAGGGGATTGCCCTCATGACGGCAATGGACCCCCCCTTCGACCTGCGGCAGGCGAGGCAAGAGACTACGTTGGGGATTTTGGACTGTGTAACGGACTTCTATGCAGATCTGTTTACGGAGGAGGAGGGATGGACTGTGGAGCAGATGGCAACGGCCCCGCAGGAGCACATTTGGAGGCACGTCCCGCTTGGCCTCACTGAGGAGCAGGCGCAGCCTTTGGAGATGGACATCACGCTAGAAGAGGTCCTTAGGGCGATTGGAGAGCTGCCAAGACTCAAGGCGCCGGGGGTGGATGGAGTCCCTATTGAAATGTATAAGGCACATAATCATTTCTTTGGTCCACTCCTCACGTGGGCCTTCAATGAGGCTTTGCACGCGGGACATCTCCCGGAAGGCTTTGCAGACGCCTTTGTTGTGCTGATCTATAAGAAGGGTGCCCGCGAGGATGTCAGGAATTGGCGCCCGATATCAATCCTCAATGCTCCCTACAAGATCCTCGCCAAGGTACAGTCGAACCGGCTCAATGAGGTGCTGCCACGTATTATCAACCCCGCCCAAGCGGGGTTTGTTCCGGGAAGGCAGATTGTTTCGAACATTACGCTGGCTAGACAGGTCCTTAGGCACCAGGAGGTCTGCGACCAGCCACTGGCCTTCGTTACAATCGACCTTGAAAAAGCCTACGACCGGGTGAGGTGGGAATTCCTCTTTCAAAGTTTGCATCGGCGGGGCATTGGGGAAACGTTCTGTAACTGGACTCGACTGCTCCTGGCTGCAGCACGCACGTGTATGCAAGTGAATGGGGTGCGCTCCGTTTTTTTGCAACTTACCAGATCAGTACGGCAGGGATGCCCACTTTAACCTGCTCTGTATGTCATTTACATAGAGGCCTTACACGACCTCCTCCGAGGGGATGAAGCTTTGCAGGGACTGCAGTTGAGACAAGACATGGTCCTCAAGTCCACTGCCTTTGCAGATGACACCGGTGCAGTCATCCCTCCTACCACACAGCAATTAAGGCGCCTCCAAATGGATCTGGAATTGTTTTCACTATACTCAGGAGCCAGGGTGAATTGGCGGAAGTCGCAGGCCATCCTCCCACAGGGCTATATTGCCCCAGAAGGCTGGGATGTGCCCACCTTGGCGGATGGTGAAAACCTGTGTTTTTTGGGGGCCCTGATTCACCCGGTGGGAGGGGGTGCTCAGCAGATGGAAGGATTGGCAGTGGCAGCAATTCTGAGGCTGGGGCGATGGGCGAAGAGGACGCATCTGAGAGTGTTTGGCAAGGCCCTCGTCCTTAAAAATTCAGTGCTGTCCACGATGTGGTATGCTGGGGCCATCCACATGCCGAAGAGGTGGGTTTTCCGGCAGTTGCGGGCAGCGGTGCATAGATACCTGTGGGCGGGAGATGTGGAAGCGGAGTCGGTAATCCCCAGGGTGGCTTGGTCGAAGCTCACCCAGCCCAGAAGTCAAGGGGGGCTGGGGATCTTGGACCCAGAACTGCAGATGACGGCGCTTCAACTGCGCAACCTGCTGTGGTTTTTGTTGGGGACGGCGGGCACAGCGTGGGAGAGCCTTACCACTCAGCATTTGGCCCTGGCGCTTGGCATGACATAGCAAATGGTCCTAGTGGCGCTGGCCAGCCCAGGCCTCATTAGCCACGTCAAGAGGAACCAGGTTTGGTCCGCTGCGCTGACGTTGTGGAAAAAGCTCCAATTACAGCAGGAGTTACCGGTCACCGCCGACGATGTCTATAATCAACTCCTCTTTGACAACCCCTGCATATGTGACGACGCGGGTGATCCGTTCCCATGGCAAGGGAAGCCTGGAGCTTTTGGGAAGCATTGGGCGGAATGTGGGGTCTTTAAGATCGGGCACCTGTGGGACGAGGAAGAGAGGGACTGGAGGAAAGAGGCTGACATGGCAGTGCGGCTCCCCCACAAGTTCCGGAGGTGGCAAAACTTATCCGCCCTTCAGCGGGGTATTCCCACGCAATGGGTGGATACACTGAGGGTGGACCATAGGGTGGTGGGAGAATGGGTGAGACGCAAGAGAGAGACACACCCCCTGCAGGTATACCAGATCACACAGGTACAGGGTGAGGAGGTGGTGACGCGAGCATGGAACGTGGTGACTGGGTATGAGGGTCTGGGAGCCCCAATGAGAGTCGGACCTGGTGCGGAGACGCGGTGGAGGACTGACGAAATTGAGATGGTGGCGGTATGCACAGAGGAGAAAAAAGAGGTGGGGCTGGGAAGTGCCCGACCCTTTCGGGTTTGCAGCACAAGGCGAGAGCTGGCGATTGATC